GAACCAAATATAAATATCAGGGCAGAACAGGAGAGGGACCAGGATTTGAGGCCAATTATTGATTTTCTAAAAGCGAGTGTTGTGCGCTCTGCTTGGAAGAAGGTGTCTAGTCTAAGCCCTGTGACAAAGCACTATTGAGCACAATGGGACCAGTTAAAGCTTGAAGATGGTATTCTTGTACGGAGATGGGAAACTACAGATGGGAAAGTGACGAATTGGCAAACAGTTATACCGAGGAAATTACGGGAAGTTATGTTGCGTCAATCCCATGATAGTTTAACAGGAGGACATCTCGGAATTAGGAAGACATTGCGTCACCTACGACAAAGATTTTACTGGATAGGTATGAGGCGAGATGTGGAAGAATGGTACCGGACATGCAGTACATGTAGTGCAAAAAGGGGACCCAAGCATAAAGGACGCCCACATTATGAAGAGTTGCCTGAGAATGTGTCAGAGTTTGTGAAAGTGTTATCAGAAAGGATGGATGATATCCACCATCAAGTACGTTCAAACTTGAAAACGTCTGCTGATTCGATGAAGTTAACTTATGATAAGAGATCTACTGAAGTCTGCTTCGTACCAGGAGACAAGGTATGGTTGTATAATCCCAGGAAGACCAAAGGGAAGTCTCCTAAGTTGTCTTCTCCATGGGAAGGCCCATATGACATAGTGGATCGTCTCTCAGACGTGACTTTCCAGATAAAGTGTGGTCGGCAAGGTAAGCCAAAAGTGGTGCATGCCAACAGGCTTTGGCGTTATCACGGTCTAGGACATTTCAGTTGGGATGAAGTGGACAACAGAACAAATGACGCTGCTGAAGACGTGCCACATGAAGAAGCCACCGTCGAAGAAGAAATTCTACTCAGTTTTGAGAAGGGAAACAGTGAAGCTCTTGATGAAGTTACTACCACTGATGTGACTGTTACCGACGATAGGACATTTACTGATGAAGCAGATGAACCCCACATGAAGCAGAAGCCAACAAGACGGAGTCCAGTACGGAAGAAGATACGTCCCATAAAATTAAGAAACTTTATTGAATTGTAATTTTTTGATTGTAATTCTGTACATTTAATTAGGTTATTGTTAATTGTTATTGATTTATTGTATGTGGCTATTGTTTGGGACG